CTTTTCTACGCATCTAGACCATTGATTCTATGTATCCAATCGGCCATCACGTGCCATGATTCAAATTTTAAATTTATAAATTTTAATTTTTTTTCAAAAAAAATATTCATAGTGGATCTTCAATCATGCACAATAATGTCAAGAGTTCAATGGTGAAAACCGTTTTTGAATCGAATGCTTCGTTGAGGAATTATAATGAAAAAATAAAAGAGATTAGATTGGATGCGTGCATGCATGCATGCATCAGCTCTGTCAGGCTGTGTCAGGTGGAGCGTCTAGCTCGCAAGGAGGTTTCTATGCAGTAACAAATTAATTTTTATTCATTCAACTACTAATTTCTATACAATATCACGACAAAAACATTTATGCGCAAGTTGAACTGAGTTTTTTTGCATTCGATCTGCTGGGTCTACAGTGGTCCCCTACCTACGCACGCGTGAGCCCCGTGGACCTGAATGGTTGGGCTGGCTAGGGGGCTAGCTGGGGCTCTCCATTAGCTATTTGGAGCCCGCTAATGGAGAGCACCAGCCAGCCACCCTACCCTAGCCCAATCTTTCAGGTTTGCCCAACTGACATGTGCGCGTAGGTGGGGGATTTCTGCAGACCTAGACGATCGGATGCATAAAATTCCAGATCAAGCTGCGTAGAAAGGTTTTTGTCGTAACGATACATAAAAATTAGTAGTTGGATGAATGAAAATTAATTCATTACCGCATAGAAATCTCTCCACAAGCTAGACTTCTAGCTAATACAACCTGACAAAGCTGACACATGTATGCGTGCACACAATCTAATCTCTTTTTTTTTTTTGTTATAATTCCTCAACGAAGCATCCGATTCAAAAACGGTTTTCACCATTGAACTCCTAACATTTTTTGCATGATTCAAGATCCATTGCGAATATTTTTATGAAAAAATTTAAAAATAAAAAATTTGAAATTTGAATCGTGACACGGGGTAGCCGATTGGATTCATTGAAACAATTATCAAGATGCACAAAAAAGTTTTTTGCACCGATGTTGCATAAAAATTAGTAATTGGATGAATAAAAATTAATTTTGTTACCGCGTAAAAACCACTCTACGAGATGAACAATCCACCTGACACAGCCGTGATTGCCTCCACCAACATTATGCTTCCCACTATGGGGGTGTATAATTTACATTGGAACAATGCATAAAACATGGAGACCACAAGCGTAAAACATGAAGGCGATCTCGTCTTCTCCAAAATTTGAAATTTGAATCATGGCACGTGATGGCCGATTGGGTGCATAGAATCAATGGTCAAGATGCACAGAAAAGTTTTTGGTGCCAATGTTGCATAGAAATTAGTGGTTGGATGAATAAAAATTAATTTTGTTAGCACCTAAAAATCTATCCGTAAGATGGACATTCAACCTGACACAACTGTAATTGTCTCCACCAACATCATGCTTCTCACTATAGATGTGTATAATTAACACGGAAACAATGCATAGAACATGGAGACTACAAGTGTAAAACATGCAGACGATCTCGTCTGCTCCAAAATTTGAAATTTGAATCATGGCACGTGATGACCGATTGGATGCATAGAATAACTGATCAATATGCAGAGAAAAGTTTTTTATGCCGACGTTGCATAGAAATTAGTGGTTCAATGAATAAAAATTAAATTTGTGACTGCATAAAACCTATTCACGAGATGGACATTCCACCAGAGATAACCATGATTGCCTCCCCATGCTTTAAATTATAGGGGTGTATAATTAACATGGGGACAATACAATGAACATGGAGACCTTGACGCCAAAACATAACGATGATCTCATATTTCCCAAAATTTGAAATTTAAAAAATAGCACATGATGGATGATCGGATTCATAGAATGGGTTGTCAAGATGCGATGAGAAATGCTTTTTGGCGCCGACATTATATAGAAATTAGTAGTTAAATGAATAAAGATTAATTTTGTTACCGTGACAGAAACCTGCTCCAACAACGTATAGAATTATGTATCAACAATGTATAGAAATGTATACAACAATGTATACCAAGTTACAAATTTATACCAAGTTACAGTTTAGCCATTCTATAGAAACTTATGCATGCAAGTATAGGCACACAAAATCAACAAACAAAAACAATGTTTATGAAATTCAACTTGTGTGGAAACCTATGCAACTAAGCACAGAAATCAACCAACATCTTCGAAATCTCAGTTTCACCATGCATAAAGACCTATGCTTGCAAGAAAAAAAACCTAGATGACAAATGTTGCCCTGGCCGTCAGGTCCTATCCTAAAGTTGCCTAGACCGCCAGTTAGCGAGCCGACACGACGCAGTCACCGTTGGCGTGACCACAGCGACATAGTAGCGGTCCCCTCAGAGCCACCGCGGACGCTGCCGTCCGTCGTTCGAGCATGTAGCCGGCCGCAAACGCGAGCCGTCCCCGGACCTGTGAGCCCATCGCAGCCTTTGAATCCGGTGGCCTCGCTGCCCGTCGCGTGGAGAGGGGAGCCAGGGCACTATGCGGGGATGGCCTAGTCGTCGTTGCAGTTGGGAGGCTTAGGGTCGGCGCCGGGAGGGAACAGGGTCATCGCCGACGTAGGTGGTGGTGGTGGGGGAGGCTGCTGCGGACTGCATCTGCTGCCTGTGGGGTAGGAGAGGCCGCTGCGGGACTACGGCACCACCGGGGAGAGGAGCCATAGCCGACCGAAGCTGTGCGCGTAAGCTCGTCCGCGTCGCGTCCAAGGGCCACCATGTACGCCTCCGTGAGGAGGGGGAACGTGTGCCGTCGAGGAGGGAGTAGGTAAGGCGACGCGCGTCGCAGACTAGGAGGCTCGGCCGCACGTGCCGCCGTGGGGGGAAGGAAAGGCAGCGGCCATTGGTGGGGAGGAAGTCGCGCGTCGGGGAAAGGGTGGGGCCGCGCCGCCGGTTGGGAACGAACGCGGAGTTCTAGGGCGTCCCGTTCGCCGTAGTCATCCCCGCCTGCGTGGCCATGAGTTCTGGGCATCGTCTCGTCATTGTCGCGGTCCCCTGCGTACCCGCCGTTGGTGCTCTAGGGCGCATGGCGCTTCGCTCTGGGGAGGCGGCCGAGGCATTCCATTTCCGCCGTCAGACCGCCATGGCCACGAGCTTCGCCGCCATCTCGTTGCGTGTGCGTGGTGGAGGAGAGGGAGGTGGGTGCCTCACGTCGCACATCCAGGAGCTGCAGAGCCTACCGTCTGCTGGGGGAGAGCCGGGCGGCGACGGGGGGCAGGTTGCTAGGTGACGGCAGCTCCAGGTGGGGTGCGACGAGTGGTAGGGGCTGGTGGCCAAGAGTGGATGGATGGGGATTAGGGTTTAGAGGTTTATATACGGCCTGGGAAGGTTGGGTCTGCTGGGCCAACGGGTGGGCCACAGGATGGGGTAGCGGGCTGTGGTGGCTGGACCAGGTTGGTAGGGGTCTGGTTTTGTGGAACCAGGTAGCTGAACTTTGAGTGGGGGTTTTTAATAACTATTGGAAGCCTCAGCTCGCAATAATATATATATAAATAGAGTCCTACTGGAACCTACTAGTACTAGTTCAGAGTAGGAGTCCAGCCTTCTGTTTGTACTGGCTTGCAAGTTGCTACTGCAACGCCGCGTGTCTCCTCCCGCTCGGCCGGCTTTGTACACGAGTACTGCAACAGCTGATCATGGCCAGATGCGGCGTATAGCGACAGTAATCACATCTATGGATTGGAGTGCTAGCTGCAAGATAAAGTTGCTGATACTAATATCCTGTGAAGAAAGCTTGGTGATATGATCCGACCCGGGGTCGCCAAAGCAAGATCGCGTCTCGTCGTCGGCACACCCGGCGCAGCCTCGGCAATCCGGTGGTCGGGCCCGTCGCAGCCCACCGTTTGGGCGCCCGGAAACCAGTGGCGGATCGGGGCCGGGGGGACAGGGACGGGAGACCGTCGGCACCAACACCGAAGACCAAAAAACCCTTTGGGTTGGGGTCCTTTTCAGCGCGAGACCCCTTTCAACGCGTCGTCACCACTGCGCCGGGGACATCTGTCACGCTCCCACGCCGGGCTGTGCGGCCACGGCGCCACGCCGCCCCTGGCGCCGCGCCGCTTGGACTTGCCGCCCTCGGCTGGCGGTTTGCCTCGCGATCCGCGCGAGCCGCGTAAGGGCGCGTTTAGATCCAAAAATTTTTGGATGTTAGCTACCGTAGCATTTTCGTTTATATTTAGTAATTAGTGTCTAATTATAGACTAATTAGTTTTAAAATTTCGTCTCGCGATTTCTCATCTAACTGTGTAATTAGTTTTTTTTATCTATATTTAGTACTCCATGTGCCGCAAGATTCGATGTGATGAATACCGCCAAAAAATTTTTGGAAACTAAACGGTCCGGGCACGGCTTTTCTGACGAAAGTGAAAGTCTGTGTAGCTCCAGTGCCGTCACGTCACACATGTCCGTCTGCTGTGGTAGCAGTCTAGTCATCCGTCCCCAAGCAAGGACTGCCACTGTGCAGCGCACTGCCCTCCAGGGCACGCACGTGACGCGCCTCTAGTCTTGCATGCTTCTCATTTCTAAGCGCGTGTTCAGCGCCCAAAATCCAAAAAATGCTAAAGTACCTGTTACATCGAATGTTTACGGTCTATATATGGAGCATTAAATGTAGACGAAAAAAACTAATTGTATAGTTTGGTGGAAAATTACGAGACGAACATTTTGAACCTAATTAGTCCATATTTGAACACTAATTGTTAAATAAAAACGAACTTGCTACGATAGCCTCAAATTCTAATTTCCTGGAACTAAACACGCCCTTAAAAAAGTACTCCTAGTACTGTATTGTACTAACAAAGACTTTGGTGGACCATGATGTAGCTATATAGGGAGGGTTTTTGGCCTTTGGTGGGAGCCCCCGGCCCCAAACCAAAACCAGGAAACCACGCTACACCAGCACTTTCGCCGTCGCTGCGTCCTGCCTACTCTCCTCCTCACCAGTGGGTCGCAAGGTTTGCTGCTAGCGCTCGACAATGTGTGGCGGAGCCATCATCGCCGACTTCTTCCCCGCCGACGCCCGTCGCCCGGCAACCGACGACACCATCTCCGCCTCCCTCCTCTCCTCCGGTACGTTGTATATATACCTACCAATAACTGGCCTTCTGCGCGTGCGGGCATGCTACAATAGAAATAGCGTAGACGAAAGGCGATTCCATTTTTGCAGCTTGGTGTATTACCTACGCTGAGTTACTGAGTATGCATGCCATGGTTACGTACAGCCATTAGCTAACGACGCTGCCGGTAACGTGTTCTGTCAGGCGAGGACCATCTGGAGCTGCCGGCCAGGCTGCCGGCGCCGGGGCGCAAGACGGCGTACCGCGGGATCCGGCGCCGTCCCTGGGGCCGCTGGGCGGCGGAGATCCGCGACCCGCGGAAGGGCGCCCGCGTCTGGCTCGGCACCTACGCCACCCCGGAGGACGCCGCGCGCGCCTACGACGCTGCGGCGCGCGAGATCCGCGGGCCCAAGGCCAAGCTCAACTTCCCGCCCGCCGTGGGCGCTGGCGGCGGCGGCGGCGCGCGCGAGCCGGTGGCCATGAGGCGCCGGAAGTCCGCCGCTGCGGCGGCCGAGGAGAGCTCGGGCTCGTCTCCGGCGGCGAAGACCGTCGTGGCGGGCGGCGGCGGCGGAGGAGGACGAGGAAAGGAGACGCTGCGTGACTGCATGTCCGGGCTGGAGGCCTTCCTGGGGCTGCAGGAGGAAGCCGAAGCGGCCGACGAGGGTGGCGACGTGGAGGCGTGGGACGCCGTGGACCTCATGTTCGCGTAGGCCGTAGTAGCCAGGGGCGCTCAGCGCGCGCGTGCCGTCGCTGTGAACGGCCGCCGCGGCCGGGCCGCAGCTGCACGCCGCCTGCAGCCGGCACATGCTGTTTTGTATCCAGTAATATTATGTTTCTTCAAGCAGTGCTGATATGCATGTAGTAGCAGCATAGGTTTATCTACCTTGTTGATAAAAATAATTTAAACCAGAGTGATTTGGAGCTCCCGGCTTTCTGCTAATTTCCCCGTGGGCAATAGCCTATTCTAGTAGAACGTGTTACTCGCGCGGCCCTCTGGCGCTGCTCTCCCTTACTTCCGGAAACGGTATAAGCGACCTCTCTGACGCTGCTCTCCCTTACTTCCGGAAACGGTATAGGCAGCCCCTCGGGCGCTGCTCTCCCTTACTTCTTCTCGCTTAGCTTCTCCACCCACTCCCATGAGAGACCGGCGGTGGTACTGTGGTGTGGTGTCCGGCAAGGTTGCTCTTCTTCCCCGACGTCTTTCTCTTTGTTCCCCCGCACTGGATCTGCTCCGACGCGGTGCCTCACTGTGGCCAATGCTAGGAGTGGCCAATGCTGGGACTCCGGGAGGCGGGCGTCTTCTTTCTTCGTCTTCCACGGCTCGGGTGGTGTGGACCAGATCTGCATCTTCTCTGTTGTGTGTGTGTGGGGGGGTGGCTCCTCGCTTGCTTCTCCACCCACTCTGTGAGAGACCGGCGGTGGTGCTGTGGTGTGGTGTCCGGCAAGGCTGCTCTTCTTCCCCGGCGTCTTCCTCTTCGTTCCCCCGCACCGGATCTGCTTCCGACAGCGGTGCCTCACCGTCCGCTTTCTTTGGGACTCAGGAGGCGGGCGTCATCTTTCTTCGTCTTCCTTGGTTTGGGTGGTGTGGACCGGATCTGCATCCTCTCCGTTGGGGGGCGGCGAGTGGCTCGCTTGAACGGCAGTATCTGCTGCCCCCTCGGCGCTCTCCCTTACTTCCGGGAGCAGTATAAGCGGCCCCTCCGTGCTGCTCTCCCTTACTTCTTCTCGCTTGCTTCTCCACTCACTCCCATGAGAGACCGGCGGTGGTGCTATGGTGTGGTGTTCGGCAAGGCTGCTCTTCTTCCCTGGCATCTTCCTCTTCGTTCCCCCGCACCGAATCTGCTCCGACGCGGTGCCTCACCGTCCGCTTTGCTGGGACTCCGGGAGGCGAGCGTCTTCTTTCTTCGTCTTCCTCGGTTGGGTGGTGTGGACGGATCTGCATCCCTCCGTCCAGATTTTCTTCCACTCCGTCGCCTCAGCTTCTTCTGCATTTTGCGCTCCTCATTTCTCTCGACGACCACCGCTAGGTGAAATCAATCCAGTCCCGTATTCTTTGATTTGGTCGATCTAGGGTTAGGGTTTACTTGTTCATCTTCTTTGGTTTGTGGGAGTACTTGCTATTGTTAGATTTAGGGTTTCACTTGCTTCTCGCCTTTGTTGCTTTTGTTAGTACTTGTTAAGGTCGGATTTTTGGTTTATATTGCTCTGTTGCTATCTTTGTCAATGGTCGATGATGATGTCCAATGCCTTTGGGAGGCATGTTCAAGCATGCTGACCGTGCTTGCTATCTCTTTTTGCTTGCTTACACACTCATGTTGAGGCCAGCCAAGGTCTTATGAACTGAGTTCTGTCTTGATTGTTCATGCATGTAGATGGATCCGCCCAAAACCGTGAAGCTGATGGGCGATCAAGCGAGTTGCCATGGTAGTTGTTATCTTTGTCTTTTGTTATTAGTGCGCTTAGGAGGTCTAGGCCTGAACTGGACCCACTATTGTATCATCTTAGGAGTGATCTTTGAAAGCAAAGCATAGGAAGCAGAGCCACCAAGCCATTTACAACTCCACAGATGCGAAGTATTCATCCATGTTAAGGATGACCGAGAGCTCCTTTTTACGCTTTGTGTAACTGTTTAGAAATAGGGGCCTAGTTCTAGAAAATCTTTGGGTGCCACAGTTGAGGAGTAGGTTGCTATGTTCCTCCATGTAGTTGGACACAACCAAAGATTTAGAGTGGTTCACCAATCCTTTAGGAGGTCAATTGAGACTGTCCATAGGCACTTTCACCAGGTTTTGTATGCTATTGGTGAGCTTAGAAGTGAAATGATTAAGCCTCCTCCACTTGGCATACATCCAAAGATCCTTGAAAGCCATAGATGGAACCCTTACATGCAGCTAACGGTCACTTTAACTGTTAAGCCAAAACTCAATGTAGGTGTCAACCAATGCACTTATCCCACTTACACCTTTTTCAGGACTATATTGGTGCTATTGATGGCACCCATGTGACACATGCAGCAGGCTTTCAGGGGTAGGAAATCAAACCCCACACAAAATGTGATGGCTGCTATGGACTTTGACCTCAAGTTCACATATGTACTGGCTAGCTGGGAGGGCTCAGCACATGATGCCCTCATCCGTGCTGATGCCATTGAAAGAAATGATGGGTTCATTGTGCCTGAAGGTAACTAAAATCAACTGTCCACTACACTTATGTCCTTACCATGTCATAGACATCACTAAGAGCATCTTTGGTGCACTTATAGGTAAATTCTACCTTGTAGATGTCGGATATGCATGCCGTAGTGGCTTTGTCCCTCCCTACAGGGGGTGAGGTACCATCTGTTTGAGTATGGCAACAGAAACCACCCAACCAATGCAAGGGAATTGTTCAACCTGAGACACTCCTCACTTAGGGTCACAGTTGAGAGGGATTTTGGGGCTTTGAAGAACATGTTTCGTATTTTAGACAACAAACCATTCCACCCTTACAAGGCACAGGTCAAGCTTGTGCTAGCACTGTTGCATTCTTCACAAGCTGGATTCTAGGCTTTGGCATGGACCAAGTGGTGCCATCGAGAGGACCTGGTTGCCACCAAACCGACCTAATTCTCGGCTTTGTCCATGAGTCTGCATCTCAAGAGTCCAATGTCATGTCCACTAGGAGGGATGTCATCTGTAATACAATGTGGGAGGGTAGGGGTACATCTAGGACCTAATTCATGCATGTTCTTTATTGGTATATATTAACATACATAGAATAATCCACAAGTGCACGGATACCGATGTAGCACTTCACTTAGGAAAGTATTCCGAATATCAAACTCAAGAAAACATGTGTGAGAATAACTAAGACTAACTTACCCCGGAGTAGCAACAAGACTTAAGATAACAGGAGTATAAAGGAGATCACTAAGTGTCGGTGTTTCAACCAGGAGGGTCCTCAACCAACTAGTAAATGTGAGGCTGCATGCCCCTAATCCCGGATGGTAATGCAAAGAGACACAAGGTTTATCTTTGGTTCGAGCAATTGGTGCCCTACATCCGGTCGAGAGATCGATCTTGTATTCCTTGCATCAAGTGCTTGTAGTAGGGGTTACAATTTGGGTGAGAGAGGGAGCTTAGTCCTGTGTCTCGGCGTGGGCAGTGCGGGCTGCTTGAGACGTTGCTCTCAAGCGACTTGGGAGAGCGTGTGTCTATGTGAGTCTATCTCCGTGAGTTCGTGAGTCCCTCCTCCCTTAAGAACGGCCTCGGTCTCCCCTTTTATAGTTGAAGGAGGGACAGGGTGATATATGTGTTGTTCGCCATGCGGCGGCGGAGGTGGCGTCTTTGGAGTCCACGTAGCTTACTAACAGAGCGGCATGGTCAATGGAGTGGTCTTGTCCTTGATGTTTGGAGCAACGCACGGTCACACCCGATTTCGTATGACGTGGGCGCCCAATTGATAGCTTGACGCAGGTATGGCCGACGTTGTCTTTGGTCGCTATGGGTTGATGGTGAAAAGAGCCGAGGCTCGGTTGGTGCCGAGGCCGAGCCATCGTGGGGGGGGGGCTCGGTGGGCGCGAATCCCGAGGCTACCGAGACCTGGAAGTGGATTGCCGAGGCCTTGGAGGGAGCAGTTGGTCTCATGCACCGATTCCGAGGGCTCTGATGACCCATGCACGCTTCCCCACGCCGTCTTTGCTCCTAGAGCAGGAATTAGGTAGTATCTGATGCAAGACGGACGCTTGAGCATGGGTGCGATCTTTGAGCACAATGGCCAGCAACCCCTATTTCGTCCTGTCTCACGTCTCGTCGGCCACCCTCTGTATCATCGCGCATACGTCGGTGACGTCACGCAGGGAGTGGTTGGACGCGTGACGTTTTATTGGAGAAGTCAGTCGAGGCGGAGGCGACGAGGTTGTTGCCGAGCCGGCCTCGAGCGAGTCGGAGAATCGTTACTTCGTCCGAGGCTTCACTCATGGGGCCTCAGGCGAATCGGAGAATCGGTAACCCATCCGAGGCCTTATGGAGCGGGGCCTCGGCACGAGAGGGCCTCGGTGAGGGGGCCTCGACGATGCAGAGAGCCGTTGAGACGCGGGCTTCGGGCAAGTCGGAGAATCAGCCGAGACCCTGTGATCGTTCTTTGGCTTTGACATTTGTGAGGTTTTAAGCAATCTTTTGGGTTCTTGCTCCGGGTACCCCTTTTTATGGTATCCGATAGTAGCCCCCGAGCCTCGGGGGGAGTGCGAGCACTTTCCCTGAGGGTTTGTCAAGACTTGGCTTGCAGCTGCTCTAGTCGGGATTTTGTTTTTTGAGGTTCCGGTGGGTGCGCGTGAGCGCACCCTCCGGGTGTAGCCCCCGAGGCTCTGGAGGAGTGGATTTACCCCTCCAGGGGCTTTATCCCCGCTGAGCGAGGAATTTTATCACGTTTACCGGGCCCATGAGGGCGAGTTCGAGTCACTGGGACTCAGCCTAGTTGCAGGAAGAGCCCCTGAGCCTCTGCGCGGCGGTTTCCCTGTCCTTTTTGGCGGCCCTCGCGCATCCTTTTCGCTCGAAAGGAGGGGTTTGCTTGCCGAGCCCCCTCGAGTGTGAGCCTGGGTCGCTAGGTCTCGGCAAGGTTGCAGGAAGAGCCCCCGGGCCTCTTGCACGAAGCTAGAGGGCGATCAGGACTTCCCCTGGCTTTTTATGCGACCCTCGCGCATCCTTTTTGGTCAGAAGGAGGGGTGGAATAT